GAGAACATCGTGGCCAACACGGTGCTGCTGAAAGCCCGGGAAGGTGAGCGTCGGGCAGCCCCCATATCCCGCTCCCCCTTCCCTTCCCTTTCCCCGGGCCCGGCCCGCGGCGCCGCCTGCCCAGGGCCGCTGGGGTCTGGGCGGGGGCACGGAGAGACCTTGTGCGGCTGCCTCAGATCTCAAAAAGGTTGAACAATTTTCAGTGAAAATCACTGTTATAAACTAACTGAATCAGAGAGGCAGCGCAGAAGCTGTCCTGAGGTAGAGCTCGCTTCATGCCTTGCAGGTTTGTCTGCCTTTATCCCAGCTACACGGTCGGTCGGCACAAGGAAAGGTGTCGCCCAGAGACATCCTTGCCTCACACCATGGATGCTTCTAGCTTCATCTGCCTCCAGGAACGAGGTTGCGGGCGGGCGGGTGCGTGGAAAGATCAGACTTCTACTTTGAAGAGGGGTTTTAGGAAGTCGAACAATTTCAGGCTCTCTCTCTACGTTAGTGAAAGCGCTGCCGCCAACGAGAGGACGGTTTTGGGTGGTTTTGCTGGCGCGCACGTGTGTGGTGGTGCAGCCTGGGTTGGATGCTCGCGCTGGAGTGATCTGAGCAATGAGGGGCATGTGGTGAGCGTGCAGGCACAGCAACGCTTGGAGCCAGATTCGCTCCGGGTAGGGTGGTAATCTGCGGAGGCTTTCAAGTGGCTCTTTAATGTCAAGTTGCCTCTTTAGGTTAGGTTTCACTATATTTAAAAAAAAAAAAATCATGGTGCTAGGACTGACCTAACAAGAGAGGTTTGTTTTGTTGTGTTTTTAGTGTACTCTCAGGCTAATGGTTTGACAGCAGCTGGCATGAACATCTCTAGTTTTACCTGGGATGTTTATTTGGAGGAGTAATGAAGAATAAATGTTACATTTCTAGCTGTTGTTCCTCCTCTTTCTCACACATCAAGTAAAGCAAGAAAGTGATTTTTGGCTTTGAATATCCCCGCATTGCTTAATTAGCAGGTATTCTTATGTGCCGTATGTTTTTCAGAGTTACCCAACTGTTAATGGGTTTTGCCAGACATCATGCGCTTGCTGGTCCCTGGAATGTCTGCTTTAGTCATTTCATGAGGACTCTCTCACAGCAGCTTAGTTGCTGCCCCTGGCTGAGAAAGCATTGAACAGGTCTGGATGCTGATTTGCACCTGCATGGTTTACCAGACTGCACGGTTTGCCAAGAAAGGGCTGAACAGGTGGGACAGAATTCTTCCTTCCATCCAACCCATTTCTCATCTCGTGGTGTAGTCCAAAGGGGCACAAGAAAATAGGGAAGTGCAGTGCTGCTACGGATGTAAACAGTCAGATCTTGAAATGATAAAAAGCCACACAGCTCCAACAATTATGCGTGTAATGCTGAATATCAGGAATTCATCTTGCAACTTTCTCACTTGTAGAAGTTTGGCTAAAAGCAGGTTACATGACTTGTATAGGGCATAAATATTTCTCCCGAGTCTGCTTATTACTTTTACCTAACTGACTCTGCTCTTAGGGAAATATTCAATCCATTTCCATTTTTCAGTCATGCCAAAAGAAAAATTGCTATAGTTATGAATTTGATAGGTCTGCTCTCTAATTTAACATCTTTTTCATAACAGAGATGGGACGGAAAACATTTTGATTCTGAAAACACATATATTAATCATTACAACATTCTTGTGAGGTAGAGGGGTTTTAGCTTTATTTTAACAAATAAAGAAAGTGAACTAAGACTGTTGCCTTTTTGCACAAATTCACAAAGTAAGTTTCTGTCAAAACATTAGTTAGAATTAGGAAGTTCTGTGTTTTGGGCCGGATCCAAAAGCGGACTTCAGCACAAAGCATGATTAGGGTAGACTTCAGGTACTTGCATCTTGTAGAGGTGCGTTCATACAGTGGTCCTATATTGGATCAGCACCAATATAGAGAAAATTGACATTATTGGCAATTGGCTTTTTTTGGCTGGTGCGGCCAATTAATGTCACCAATATATGCTGTGTGCATGGGTGCAGCCACGGTGCAGCATGCAGGCGTCCAGAAGTACAGTTCGGCAGTGTCTGGCTCGTAAGTCTCTGTTGTGGAGGAAGGGGGGGGGGGGGGGAAGGGGCATGGAGCAGGAGCCACAAACAGCTCATGCACCTGAGGGAGGCATGGGGGAGGTGTGCCCCGAGAGCTGTGCGTGGGGCGAGGGTGGGTTGCTGCTGCAGTCTGGGCCAGGCTCTTCCCGATGGTGGGGGCTGGGCTGGGCTGCACTCGGAGGTGGGCGGCAGCACTGGGAGGGGGGTGGCTACAGCAAATTTTGAGGTGGCTTCAGCCCCTGCCCTTGGAGCCCCCTCCTAGTGCTGCCACTGCTGCCCATCCCGAGTGCAGCCTGGCCCAGCCACCTCCAGGAAGAGCCCGGCGCTGCCTTGGCCCCAGCCCGAAGCAGCAGCCTGTCCTGCCCCACATGCAGATTGGGGGCACATGCCCCCCCCCATGCTTCCTGGGGGGGTGTGCAGCTGGCCACATATTGCCCACTTCTGTATTACAGGATTAAGCCCTTAATACAGTACATAACGTATTATGCCATACTTACAAAACTTGTCTTCAAAGAATGAATGATTTTTCACCTTATCATTTATGTAGAAGAGTGAACACTTTGAACACACTCACCCCCGGGGCCTTGATCTGCCCCCCACACCCCTTCCCTCCCCCCTCGCCCCATCCCCCACAACAGATTTATCAGCTGGAAGCAGCCAGGCTGCATATTGGCAATCGGATCGGTATCTGTCAATATGGCTCCTTAAAAATTGGCCATCGGTATCAGTCCAAAAAATCTGTTGGTGTACCCCTAGTATCTAGGATTACAGTTTTGGATTTAATGGTTTAACACTTGGAGTCCTGAAACTTGGGGCTTCCCCTAATGGAGGACTTTAAATCAAGGGAATTTATATTATGATTTTAATTACCATCTGGAAATCCTTGGTTTAATTAATCACTCTTAATCAGTGTTTCCAGTTGTATTTCACTTATTTTCTAGAGAAAGGTATGTTCTCATTGGTTGATATAACCATGAAAGCATGTATATTTATAACCATACAGAGCCTTTACACTAGATGTGGTCTATCTTTTGTAACCATGTAGCTTTCACTACAACTGGATACATTTAGTTCAGGATTTCTATTTAATATTTTCAGATTTTTAGTAATTTTACTTTTTAGGATGTTAGAAAATGGTGAGTGATGCTTATTACTAGTTACTAGTCATAAACAAAAATGATTTATCAATAGCTGTATTAGGTTGGTAACTGAAATTTAGGTATGATACAACTGCATATACATTGTATTTGTATTAAAAATAACTTTTAACACTTTGACTGCATATATTTCTCTTATCACATTTACAATTAAATGATTTATTGACTAGAGGGATTAACTGTAGTTAGTGAACTAAACTGATTACCGTATTTTCACGCATATACCCCGCCCACTGGTATGAGCCGCACCCACGTATAACCCGCAGAAAATTGTATTTTTGTAAATAAGTCCATGTATACGTCGCACCCGTGTATTCCCCGCGGCGGCATATACACAGGGAGGCGGTGCAGCCCGGCCCCCGCGGTGGCGGCGGCACAGCCT